AGGTGTCAGAGGAACAAAATCCCATCACAATCAGTGGAACCACAATCAACCCCACACCGAGAGCATGACTGCCAGGACTTTTTCCAAATGCCTTTTCCTGAACATGATCTTCATCTACATGGGCTTTTTCCCCTCCAAAATGGATGAATCCTATTCTAAAAGTAACATTTTCCTATTTGTGACATTCAAATTAAGCATATGTAAAAATATTATCAGCTTTGCATCGGGTCACAAACAATGGGTGTGCTATGATCAAAATGCATGCATTTTATACTGTTATTTTCCACTGTGCTGCTAAATATGATACTCAAGTTTGTACTAAAATTTACGAATTTTCTGTAGTAGTTACTGCAGCATACCCATAGCCTTGCACAAATAGGCAAAAAACCCTGCAAAGTGTTCCACCCCACATGATCTTGTAAAACTACTTTTGAAACTACAAAATGAAAGACTACTAGCCCCAATTCTACTAACACCTTATTTTTGACATTACACACTACAATACTGCACTATTTTCACACAAATCCCACAAGCTAGAGCTATGAATGACCATATAGCTCCCTGTTCTTCAAGCTTGAACTTCTCCAAGTTTCATCAACACCTAACGTGCCAGTAGCTGGGTTTTATAGCTAGACAGTGAACCAAACTTCATCTGAAACCAACTGAGCTAGACAACCATCAAGGACTACTCTGGGGCATTTAATATAATCCCTGACAGATTTACATGCAGTTAAGGGGCAAAGAACAAAAAACCCATCCCAAGTTTAAAAAAGGCACAGAAAAGGCACTCAAGAAGTGGCCATGGTGCCTGACTCAACCCCATTAAAACAACAGACACTGACAAATCAATTGGTGCAGAAATTAAATCAAAGGCTAGTCTGTCCTTCACCCGAAAAAGAAAAAAATATTTACATCTATATTTAAAAACATGCATTAAAGCTAGAAGAGCACTCTGATTTTAGGAAAATTTGCCTATTCATCTGTTAAGAAAACCACCAACACATACACAACTAAATCAACACTAAAGTATTTAATAATTCTTTGTTCATTCCTGAAAAGGAAGACATTAGAAAATAATTTATTAAATAACTATTTTGTCTACTTGTTGCATAAAACCCCAAGCTCAAAGTTAAGGCAACTGCCACAAGGTACACCTTTATCACTCTAATCTCTCCTAACCAGCAAAATCATCTAAGAAGTTAACAGATATTGGTCTTTTGAACAAGACTCATCTGTATGATGAATTAACTGTCAACATTTAATCCTTTGGCTAACAATCTTCTGAATGTTCTTGTTATAGAATTACCAGTTTAGCTTAATCCACTTACTCGATTTGAAGTGGAACACACTTGTACCCCAAGACCTATACAGAAATGATTCTCAATTCTGAAACAGCAATCCAAGGTCCAGTCACCTGGGTTTAGACTACAGCTTGCTTCATTGTTTGAATGTACATTTATTTGGGTATTCGAAGATGCCTAGTCTTCCTGGTCTGAAGAATTCTTAGTCCAAGGAAACAAATCTCTTGCATTCATCAAAAGCCAAAACCTGCCAATGCTCCGCCTAAAGTCTCCAAGCTCAATCTGACATACAAACTACATCAAGTACACACAGAACTGGAGGTTCTTTATAAAACTTGAGCAACTCCCTGAGGACTGTTCAAAGGAGAGCAACCGGGATAGGAAACAACATCCTGTGTGAGCCTGGCAGCACACCTACCCAGCAGAGAGGAGGGTCACATTCCACAGCCTCCTGCTGGAACAAAAAGAAATAAAAGACAGAAAGAGAAAATAAAACACAGACTGCTTCTTTTGCTGACTATCCGTGGGCTTAAAGGAAGGGGGAGAATATCCAGAGTTTAGATGAAACTCAGATGATTTCTAGAATTTAATTAATTGGGTAGCAAGAACTGTAGGCAGTAGATCAGTACAAGAACACTTAGAGCAGAAGAAATTAGGAGAAACTTCATCTCTCTATCCTAACCCCTCATGCTCCAGTCTTCCCAAACCAGGACTTCACATCACACCTTCTCTTTATTCCCTACCCTTAAAATTAGGGTGGATCCCTAATTTCACGCCCATTTCTGTAAAGGGATTAACAGAAACTGCACGTGGGAGACACGTGAAGTGCAGGGTAAGCACCTCTGAAAAGAGACAGTAATGGGGTGTGAATGTCTGCTGGCATAAGCACTTTACCCAGTGGTTCCTATAATCATTTCCACACAGAAAATTACTTCCACATACCACCCACAAGCAGTTTCTCTGGTAACTGCCAAAATCTCTTCAGTTTACTTGCAAGGAGTCAACAGTCAAATATTTTGAAAAAACTGTAGATCACTAGTGTGTTAAGTGCTGGGCACATTTTCAAGAAGCATTGCTATAGAAGCAGGGAATCATTAGATCTCTTCCAGTTATATTCTATTATTTGAAAGCCAGGTAAGGTTGCCTTTACATGAATTCAGGACTTAGACAACTGATCCAGATGCCTTTCACTAAACCCTTGAATCGGGCACAGGTAGGAGTTTCAAAAATTGTGTCTCCTCACACCTTAATAAGATACAGAACACCCAACATAGCAGTTTAGATTAGGAACCCAACGTTTGTCCGTAAGGCTCCTAGACTGTAAGCACTACAGTAAGGACCCAGGTCAAACTCAAGAGAGTCATAAAAATTCAATACAAAAATTAAGTTAGGAATTAGTATGATACTTTAAACTTATGACCTGCCTTATTCCAGGTAAACTTTCTGTTTCAGGCTATCATTGCAGAGCTGCTGCCATCTGCAAATTATCACTTCTCTTCCAGCAATACTTTGGACTAACTTAGTCTGCATGTCTTCTGAGCAAAGAGAAGTTGTTTAACAAAAGCTATTCATGTCAAGATTTATAGGGTCTGAAAAAGCAGTGAAAAAAGGTTACCACTTCAATAAAAGGGTCCATTTGGGTAAATACAGAATATAATGCTAAACACTATTTCTGCATGATAACTGCCACACTAGGGAGTTATTTTAGAAATAGGCAAGACCTAGAGATCTATTATTTCTCTCCACTTTTAAATGTGAATTTAAATGGAAATTTTAGATTGGGTTCACTCGATCCCAATCATGGAATTCTAGCAACATTTCATCTTTTTATTTGAATGTTGGGAAGCCCCCATCTGTGTGTAAGTACTAGCCAAGTTACATTTTCCCTTAGTTTTTTAGTAAAAAAAAAAAATTGAGCACCTCCAGTTATTTAGTTTTGACACTGTAATGCAACTAGCCATAATAATGGCTGTGAAGTAGATTTCTTTAAAGTCTTATAAGGCTTCTCTTAAAGCTTCTTTAGTTTTATCAGCTTCAGTAGAGCAAGAGGCATTATTTATGATTACTCTAAGGAAAACAAACCTGTAATTATTGTTTGAAACCAATACTATAAATAACTGTACTGTTCTCTATTAAATGACCTTTCTATGATAGAAATTGTTTTTCACAATTTTGAGTTCCAGTGCAGCTAATAAGAAGCAGCTTACATTTGCAACTCCAAGTTGTTGCTCTTTAGTTAGTACTTTTCCCGAATCTTCCTATTCCCAGTAAATCAGTTACTACTATGAGTCTAAGGGCAGATAGAATGTCATAAAATGTCCAGTCAAATAAATCACTTTTTTGTTACTAAAAATAGCAAAATTTTCCTGTTTCTCTTCAACATAAACAAAGTGGTCCTGAGTGCTGCAATACTCCAATAGCAATGCTCCTGAGATAATACACTTTTATTACCTCTGCATTACCCACTGGGAATTCCCCAAAGGGCCATACAAGTAAACTGATTAGCCTAGTCACAATCATCCCTGATGTAGCTTGGCAACCAGAAGAACATAAAATTTGCTCCCTATTATTGATGAAGAGCTATTACCAAAACTATTCACATCTTCATTCCCTCTATATGTGCACCTTACAAACACACCACTATCAAGTCAGGAGATTTCAACTGCACTTCTTTCAATTTAAGTAATTGGTATTGAATGGAGATTCAGTTTAAAAAGTCATTGTTGTAACATTTCAATAAGAGGGACAAAATGCACATGTACGTGCACACACTGCTGAGAGACTTCTGCAGAACAGAGAGGTTCAGCAGAAACAAAAAACAGCATTAAACTGATATTTATGCCATGCTGTTATATTATCCCTGATCTCTAAACTAAGTTCTATTTTAATGTCCTCTGTAAGAATGACTGATAGCTGAAAACCACTTCTCATTTTCTTCTTTCACCTTTCATTTGTATTTCTTTCATATCATTTTAGGATGTTTACTATTCTCCACAATTTTATTACAATTATTTAACAGATCAGTCTAAAGCTAAAAGGAACTAAAAAGGCTTCCAGAAATTCTATTATTGGCTTCTAGCCAGGATTATCTTCTTTGGTCTTTATTTACCTCTGTATTTTTAACTGGACCCCAGTGGTTTTTCAGGACTTCTAGTTGCTACTGACGTGATTTTCTTACCCCCAAGTGAATTACTGGTCCAAGCCTTCATGGTGCACCTGTCTTTGCACTTGCACCAAACCCTTTCACTGCAGCACATCTCCTTTCTAAACAAGGCTTTGAAGAATACCTTAAGAAGATGCATGAACCACATACAGTGTTAAATTTTAAGCCTCCATGCCCTGCATTACTCCTGATTTCTCACCTTATCCCTCTATTATTCAAATAGGCAATTATTGTAAACGGGGCTGTCTTTGTGCAGGCATCAGAACTCCGAGCTCCTAGAGCAAAGTAAAAGTAGCTCATTTCAACTTGGTCCCAACAGTAAAGCCTAAGCATTAGTAAAATGAAAAGAAGTAGTATCTGATTGACTTGCATCTACTAGTTTTCAAAGAATAATTTACTGGGAGCCATCTGAAGTCAACCAATAAAACATGCCTTTTTTCTAAGACTTGAAGCATAATGATGTCAAAACTGACAGTCTCCCATCTGCCTCAACTACCTATCTGCTATTTTTCGTAGTGTTCAATTAGGTAGATTTCTTAAAGCAAAACGGCAACTTTATTTAATCTGTTTTCTAGTGCATTTGAAAATAAAAAAACATACAGAAAGACTGGAAGAAAACCGCTCTCTGCTTATACTGTGGCTGTAGGGTTCCGTGGCTGACCACGTTTCTCACCTAGTGGAATTCTAGCACTGCAGAGTCCAAACATTTGACTGTTTCATGTTACATGGGTTTTCAGATCTGGTGAATGCTTTAAGCTTCCCACTTCCTTCTTCAGGACATTAAGTAAAGTTCTAGAGCTATCCAAAATCTTCATGTAAGCAGCTTCAGTTTCAGCAAGTATTTTATCAAGCTCATTCCGTGAAGCCACTTTTTGGGCCAAGTTTTCACATACACACTCCAGCTGTTCACTGAGGACTTGGATTTCATGCTGGAGTTTATTCTTTTCCTCTTCTGCTTGCCGGATTTGTTTGTTCAATTCTTCTTTTTGCATACATAAATCTTCAATGCATTTCACTAGTTCATTATTGTAACCCTGAAGAACAGCTCCCTGCTGAGTCATCCTGCACTCACTCCCTGAAGTCCCCTTTCAGCAATGGCCTTCTGCACTCAAATTAAAGGAAAACAAACAAACAAACAAACAGAAAAAAAAAAATCTGTGAGAGCATTGCCGTGAATAATGCTTCACTAGCACAGATGGAGCCACTGGGCAAGGTTCTCTAAGTTAACAGGCCCATTCTCAGATGTGCCACATCTCTTCCCTTTTCAGGAGGCAGACAGGACAAAATCTGGCAAATGTTCTTAAACCTTTACTGTAAACTGCTGTCCCTTATGACACTGCCATGGCACTGGCATCGAAGTATTTATGATACGGTTAATAATATCTTTGTACAACCTTGAATATAGGATGCTTTGTACATCAGACTTCGAGGGCCTGGTCAGAAATAAGCAAAAACTACAGAATCACAGAATGCATAAGGTTGGAAGGGACTTGTGGAGATCATCCAGTCCAACCCCCTGGCAAGACAGGGTCACCAGGAGCAACCAAGTGGGTATTGAATGTCTCCGCAGAGGGAGACTCCACGCCCTTCCCAGGGAGCCTAATCCAGTGCTCTTCCACCCTCAAAGGAATTTTTTCCTCATTCTGAGGTGAAACTTCTCGTGTTTTAGTTTATGGACGTCGCTCCTCGTCCTGTCACCGGGCACAGCCCTGAGTGGCTCAGCAGGCACTGCCAAGGCCAGGGAATCTCCCGACACGGCGGCGCCCGCAGCTCCCCCAACACTGGGGTGACGCGGCTCGCATGTGCCGGGGCCACGGCGTGTGCCGCCCTCACACCCCCGAGGACACCCCGGGACCGAGGCCAGCCCGAGCCCGCGGCCGCCGTCCCAGGGACATTTTAACACCCTCCGCGCCGCACAGCGCGGCCCCGCCGACACGCGCCGCGCACAAAATGGCTCCCGCCTGCACATCGAGTGCCCGGGCGGAAGGGGAGGAGGGGGTAGGTAAGAGGAGACCTTCCCATTCCTATGTCCCCCCCGCCCCCCGTAATTCCCCCTGTTGCCCCCACCTGCCTGGCAGGATCGCGATTCCTCCCCACCGAGGGAGCGGCTCTGCCACCGAGGGCGCGCTGCCCTCGGCTACCCGGCCCCGTGCTCCCGCCAGCGACCGCGCCGGCCCACGGAAATACCCGAGCGCTTCCGAACGTGGCGCCGCCCTGACGGCCGCACGGAAACGTCTCTCCGGAAAAACGCGATGTTTTCCGAAGACAGGTAGCGCTCGCAAGAGTGGGCCGAGGCGGGAGGGGCAGGGAGGGCCGAGCGTTACGGAAGGAGCCGATATTTGCCGAAGGGAGGGACTGAAGGGCGTCGTGCGCGGCGGAGGCAGCCGATGTTTGCCGAAGGGAGGGACTGAGGGGCGTCGGGCTCGGCGGACGCAGCCGATGTTTACCGAAGGCAGAGTCGCCCGAGAGCAAAGGGGACAGAGGGGACGGAGCGCGTCGGAAAGAGCCGGAAAGAGCCGACGTTGACCGAGCGCGGCGTCGCCCGAGTTCCCCGGATGTAGTTGGAGCGGCGGCGGCGGGCGCGGCGGGGGGAGGCGGTGGCCGAGTCGGTGCTCCCGGTGTGTCTCAGCGCGCGCGGGGCCGAGCTGCCAGCGTCTCCCCTCTCGAGGCGATGGGCCCGTGAGCGCCGCTCCAGCCGAGCTGCCCGAGCCGCCCCCTTCCCCCGCCCCTGCCCCCGGAGCGCTGCCGCCCCCGCCTCCCCCCTCGGCGCCTGTGGCCCGGCCGCGGCCGTGCCCTCCTGGTCCCCTCACCCTCACACACACAGGCCGGGCATTGATGGTAATGTATGCGAGGAAACAGCAGAGACTCAGTGATGGGTAAATTCACCCCCTCGGCCCCGCGGGGCCGCCCCCCCCACCCCCTCCGCCATGTTCGGCCCGGCCGCGGGGCCGGTAACGGGCGCTCGCTAACGCCTCTCTCTCTTTCTCTCGCTCTCTCCTCAGCTGTCACGACCGCAGGGGGGACTCGCAGCCCTACCAGGTACCGCCGGGCCGGGAGGAGGAGCAGGGGAGGCGGGGGGGGTGCTACTCCAGCGGAGGCTCCGGCGGCCGCCGCAGGCCGCGGTGCCCCGGCCGCCCCGGTCCGGCCCCTTGCGGGGCCCAGGGCCCGGCGCCGCGCGGCGGAGGAGCGGCGGCGGCCCGGGCGCGGGGAGCGGGGCCCCGCTGCTCGGCCGAGGCCTGCGGAGCCGGGGCGAGCAGGAGCGGCCTAGTGCGACCCGTGCGGGGCTCGGGCCTGGGAGTCGGGGAGGGTGCGAGGGGCAGGAGAGGGAGCCGGGGTCACCTGTGGTGGAGTGGATGGAGATCCAAGGGAGGTGAATGTTTTTCTTCTAAAAACAAAAGGAGTCTTGCTCTTCCACCGCCCCCTCCCCCAACCCCTCCCCAAAGCCCTTTCTTCTCCCCAAAACTGCTGCTGTGGGCTGTAACCTGAGCAGGGCATGGGTTTAGAGCCTGACCAACTTGGGGCTGCAAGTGAGGCTTAATTTCTGCAGTTGCCAGCTGCTAGGCATGTTCAGAAACCATCAAATCCTTGAGTTACCGACAATAGTCTCAATTTGTGTAAGGTGGATACTGCACTTTACTGTGTCTACTGAAGAAACCAAATTGTCGAGGTTCGAGTCTGTGGAAAGCTGTATGTTGTGATATTGCTCTCTGTGGGCCCTGAATTGGACTGTTTTACTGCATTTCTGTGTATTTGAATCACTGAAGTGCACTAGAGCCGTCCAAGGCAGCTGTCAGTGGCAGTTCACAAAAATGTAAACACTTGCCTCTCAGGAGTTCACAAAACCAAGCAGGTCAGAGTGCGGCAGAACATGTAGTTTTTGGTAAAGAGTTTAGAGTGAGTTATTATGTTACATGTTGGCCCCCTAGAATTATTTTTGGTTTAATTACAAGGATGTTAGTACTGAAAAAAACATCACAGAAATTCAAGATAGTGATGCAACCAGGTGGTCTTTACTAGAGTATGGAGGACATATTTGAAGTTTACACTGATTCAGTGTAACTTAAAGTTTGTTTTCCTAGTAACAAGTGGAGACTAGTTCCTTTCCCAAAACTGTTGAAGAGCTGTGGCCCATTTACTGCTGAAACTGTGTAATTCATCAGTGGAAAGATAGAGAAACTAGGATTCTTCTTAACTGCAGGTGTTGCATTGGATTTAATAGTGGGAGAAATTGGTTTAAGTTCTAATTACAGAACTTGTTGCTTTAATGTAGGTAATTAAAACTAGGAAGACTAATGCTGATTTGTTTTAATAGGCAATGAAAATTATTTAACTTTTAAAATACTTCTGAAAGAGAAGAAAAAAATCCAAAAATTTTGTATCTGATGTAGATGCCTATGTTCTTGTGATCTGTTACAGGCTCTTAAGTACACATCCAAGAGTCACCCCAGTGGTGGTGATCACCGTCATGACAAGATGCGAGACGCCACAGATCCTTCGCCACCAAATAAAATGCTGCGGCGCTCTGACAGCCCTGAAAACAAATACGGTGACAACACAGGGCACAGTAAAGCAAAAAGTGTGCACACTCACAGAGTTAGAGAGAGGGATGGTGGTAAGTTATCTTTAACAAACTTCTACTTAACCAGTCACTGATTTCTCATTAAAATTAACCAGTATCAACTCAAGTGATGTCTTACACTAAATGTGCCTTGTACTCAGCTAGGGTGATTGCAGTGAACCCAAAGTGGGAATTTAATTGGAAGCAATCATTGAGGCATTATAACACCTATTAATTTTCTGGTTTTTACAGGTATGGTAGTTTTCCTTACAGTCCCAAAGATTAAATAAACCCTTTTGTTATTATTTTAACTAGTATGTCTCATTTATTTAGGCATACAGCAACGTTTGATAACATGAAATAATTTTCCGATTTTTCATTAGTAATATTGGCTGTTTTGCATCCTTTCAATGACTTTGCGTATTGTGGTGTTGTACTTTGTAGTTACATGCTCTATAGATTAAACTCCAACAGAAATGAAAAAAGCTTCTTTGTATTTAGCTGCTATGTAGAACTCTAATAGATCAAAGGTAGCACATACTAGAGCCTTTCTTGACAGGAATTTGAAGAAGTATGTTCACAGTCAAGTTAGCCTCCTATGTTTTTACAGGCTTATAAACAGTAGCAATATCCCCAGTTTTTTTTAACTGATCTTATTTTGCATCCCTGCTTCCTAGGAAAATAATAGGATTTTCCAGGTAATAACAGTGTTAGGTAACAAACAGCCAGAGTTTAGAAAATTGCAATTGCTGTCTGAATTTGGAAAAGTTCTTTTGTTCTGTTGATTGGTGTTTGTGTCAAGGTACAAGGTGAAGTATTCCAGTAGAGAATTTGGAGCTTTAAATCAGTGCTTCTTTTTTCTGTATAAAGCTAACAAATTCTGATGTACATACATGTTTATTGCTGCACTAGTTTTACTTGATATAATAGTTTTAGTAAAATAAAGGAAGTATCTTTCAAGTACCTTTTTAGGACATACTAGTGTAACCCTACAAATGTGTTCATGGATACCCAATTATTCTTATAAATCCTATTTGTTTTTCCTTCTTTGATTTAATGCTGAGGCTCTCTAGGCCACTGTTAATGACAGAGAAGTGTGTAGGTGCATTATAAGAACATGCCTCTTTTGTTAATACGCTGAATTTCATTGTATCTGATAATAATTTGAAGTGTAGTAATCTCAGAATTAAATGCATGTGCAATGCCCATATGCTGCTCTTCTGTGCTACTTTTCAGGATACAGAGATGTCCTCTTTTATTTCCTGTTCACCTGTCCAAAAATTAGTCCCACATTCTATTGCAGTTCTTAGTTTTGCTACAGTTGGTAATTTTATCTGCTTGAACAGAGCTGCATTTAGTGGAATCATGCATATATGAAAACATCTGGAGGATGAAGCTCTATGTGGGGATTGCTTTGCTTATTTGTGTGTTGGAGGTGTTATAAGATAGGAGAGATATTCTGAAGTCCTTACGAGGTCCAGCAGGATTTCATAGCTGGGGGGTGGTGTGAAGCATGTATACATGCAGTCAGGATGAAAGAAAATAAATTATTTGTAGTTTTGTGAATGAAAGGAACACCATCCCACTGTACCTTCTCCTAGTTGTTAAGACAGTGGAAAGTTTCATTTATTCTGATTTAAAACAGGTGTTTTCACATCATACGTTAACAGACTGGAATAAGGAAGTAGTCTTCAACAGTCTAAGGGAAATTACTAATTTTAAAAGTTTAACATTTGTACTGTTTAATTGGTGTGGCATTAGTAAGGTTAGTTTGGCCACAGTTTCACCTCTGTAAAATATATTTAGAACAACCAAAATTATGTTAAATCCTGTGTACTGTATGTAGTAAACCAAAGCTGAACAGATGTGGGCAGAAGGGTATTAATTTTTCTTTGGTATACTGTGTATTTCTGTCAGTATGAATTGAAGGTAGGTGTTAAAATATAGGTGAAAAGCTGTAGTGTAATGAACATTTGCATATTGCTAATAGGCAAAAGACATAATAAAATAATTTATAATTTTCTCTGTTGAATTACTCTGAAGGGTTGCTATTGCTATAGTATTTTAGTTTTTCAAATAGAAACATATAGTAGAAAAAAGAAAAACATTACAAAAGTGCAAACATTTTTAATCTAATCCTTTATATGACCAAGAAATATTAATTTGCTGTGATACTACTATAATTACCTGTCTTGTTTTCTTTTTGCATTTTTCATAGAGGAGGAAAGAAGCTGTGTGGTTTTTATTTTTTGTAATTGTTCTGCATTATTTTAAAATTGGTGCTGCTCAGTTTGAAACTACTACAGGTGTTGCTGCCTTCCTGTGATCTAGCTGAACTCAACAAAGCAAATCTCATTGAAACATCTCTAGTATTTATTTTCCTAAACTGAATTAAAGTCCCAAACGAACAATCTCTTCTTCTCTCATACCTTAGAAAACAAAATAGGACATAAATTCGGAGCATTACTACTGAACGTAAAGCTGATTTAACCTGATCTCTCCCTCTCAACTCAATCTTTAGAAAGACCTCCTGTACATCTCTTAGTAATTTTAACTCTGAAGAGAAATGGGAAGATTCAGTGGTGTAGCACACTGATTCACTCACGGCTGGTTCATGTTTTTGTGGT